GGAAGGGAGCGGCTGCCGCCGCCTTGCTCTTCGGCCCTCCGTTCTCGCAGGAAAGGCTGGTTTGGGTCACGAAAGGCGTGACTTCCCCTTCCACGATCTTTCGTGTGCGTCCTGCAGCTCTTTCCTGTGGTCACCGCGGAAGTTACAGGCAGCAGCCTGAAATCATACCTGTCCCACTTGGGCGTCTCCCAGCTTAACTCCAGGAGCCCAAAAACTCTGCTCATGCCACGCTGCCGTCCCCACGACTTCCAGGTGTCGACTTCACAAAACTAAGTCTCGACCACACACTCAGTGCCCCACGCAGAAGCAAGTATCTTTTAAAACGAACTCGCCTCTTAAGCTATGCAGAAAACAACGTGAAGGCGCAAGCCAAAGTTACAGTATCACTAGCTTTCAGGCATCTTAGCTTTGAGTCTGGTCTCACTGTCGCACAGGCTGGACGGCAGCGGCGCCATCGCGGCCCTCCTGCCAAGCCTGGTGCTTCTGCTCTTCGCATGGCGGCAGGGCTCTGTCTGTAGGCTGTTCCGTAACGTTAGGCCTTCGACTGCTGGGTTTGAGGCTGCTCCCAGCTTACGGTTTGGTCGAGGGCATTTCGCCTAAGGAGTGTTCCTTATACAGGGACGCGCGGGTCTTGTCTGGAATGCTGGCAGCCGAGTCTAGGAGGGAGGAGTCCTGTTGCAGATCGCTGCCCGCCAGCCTGAGGTCCTTCCTCACGCACTGTTCACTCTTAGGTCTCAGGCTTCCTGCAAGCCTGACCCAGGGTGCCTGAGCTGCCATCACAGAAGACCACAGACAGGGGAGTTCAGACGGCAGGCTTTTTTCCCACAGAAAAATTTTTTCCTCTCACAGGTCTGGAGGCTGGAAGCCCGGGATCACGGTGCTGACGCGGTTCCTGGTGAGGACTCCCCTGGCTTGCCGACAGCATCTCTTTGCTGTGTCCTCACATGTTGCAGAGACAGATCTCTCGGGTCTCTTGTTATAAGGGCGCTCATCCTACCAGGGTAGGGCCCCACCCTCATTTAACCTTAGTTACTTCCTCACTCCAAACAGAGCTACACTGGGGTTAGGGTTTCAACGTGTGGGCTGGCAGGGGGACAGATTCAACCTCTAGCAAAGCATGGCTCCGCATAGCACACATTCTAACAACCGTTAAGATAGCCTAGAGATGCCAGAATGCTTGGTATCTAAATAGCATCTTCTGCGTTGGCCCCACACTGCAAAATGACACAAGAATCCCCTCTCACGTCAGTTGTTCCGTTTCTTGGCTCAGCAAAGCATGATCCTAGTGATGCAGAAAATGGCTGCTCCACACCTGTGTCACAGGGATGCACATACATTTCTCTGCATGGCAGTAATTTAAAAGTATTCTACTAAAATGCTGTTACCACTGACAAATATCATTCCTTCTATGAGGTAGACTGCTTGTGTTGAAGTGACCAAGACATTTTTTATTCCTTTTGTGATACAGGTTTACTTATGTAATTATTTTTTTCTAGATGTATAACAGTGAAGAATTCTGGGAGAAACTTAGAGCCTTACATGGTAAACACACTTTCGACACAAAGATAGAAATAACCAATCTGCTGGTCTTCCACCAAAATGCAGCCCAACAGAAACTCACGAAGAGCAGACAGGCAACATTTTCCTAAACTTAAGTGACAAAGTAAAAAAATATGGGAGCCAGCATGGTGGTGGTGCCATGCTACAGTACTTGAGAGGCTTAGGCAGGAGGATCACCTGAGCCCAGGAGTTCAAGACCAGCCTAGCAACATAATGAAACCCTGTCTCTAAGAAAAATAAAGTTAGGGTTTAAACTGAATTTTCATGTAACACTTTACTTCTACTAAACCTTGCCTATAGCTGAGACTGGATTGAAGCAATTATCTAGTGAATTTAATTAGGGTAATTTATGTTTTGTTTTTTGTTGTTTTTTTTTTTTGAGTTGGAGTCTCACTCTGTCGCCCAGACTGGAGTGCAGTGGCCGCTCCCGGCCACCGCAGCCTCGACCTGCTGGGCTCCGGCGATCCTTCCGCCTCAGCCTTCCTAGTAGCCAGAATTATAGGCATGCGCTACCACGCCTGGCTGATTTTTTGATTTATTGTAGAGATGAGGTCTCGTTGCCCAGGCGGGTCTCGAACCCACGGGCTCAGGCAATCCACTCACCGCAGCCTCCCAAAGGCACGGGATTACAGGCTGAGCCACTGAGCCTGGCTTATGTTTTTTTTTAAAAAAACCCTCCTGACTCTGAAATATTGTTCCGAAAATAAACTTTTTTTTTTTTTTTTTTTGCTATTAATCTTATCACAAACCAAACAGACCAAACTGTTGTTCAGTTCCCCACTTTAATTTCTGACATGGTCTTAATTTTAAAGACAGGAAGAACAGACTAGAAAGCAACTCCACTTAAAGTATGTATCACATTCTATTCCAGAGAATGAGGTAAACACCATCTCTTTTCAGCAGAATTTAAGTAGACACTGAAGCCAGGTGCAGTGGCTCACACCTGTAATCCTTGCACTTTGGGAGGCCAAGGCGAGATTTCCTGAGCCTAGGAGTTCGAGACCAACCTAGGGAACATGGTGAGACCTTGTCTCTACAAAAATAAAAGGAAGTTAGCTGGGTGTGGTGGCACGTGCTTATAGTCTCAACCTCTCGGGAGGCTGAGGTGGAAGGATTGCCTGAGCCCAGAAGGTTGAGGCTGTTGAGAGCTGTGATTGTACCACTGCACTGCCGTTTGGGTGACAGAGTGAGACCGACCCCAATTCCGAAAAAAAAAAAAAAAAGACACTGAGGATTCAGTGAAAGAGAAGAAAACAAAAACTCCTTTCACACAGAATGATGCAAAGAAACTCATGACTGCTCCATCTTGGGTCCTCTACACATGCAAAGTTCACTCACTCCAGGAGGGATGTGGTTGGGACATAACTAGTGAGCTGCCAAGAAGCAAATACTAGTACTCACCTTAGTTTACGTACCTGGAGGGGCTACCAGGTAATGGACATGAGCTCCATTCTGGAGAAGTGCTCCTTCCTGAGTTGTTGGGAGTGTCCTTGTTGCTACAAAGGACCTGTTATCCAATGAGTTCCACATCAACCACAAGAATTAGACTGCCATGGGATTTAGAAAACGGGAGATTGCTCGTATTACTAAGCAAGGGAAGTCATGTTTCCAAGGATATTAAATGAGATTTATCAAGGCCCAGACATCACATCGGATCTGAAGAATCACTTCAGTCAGTTGATGGTTACCATTCACTATCAAGGCTGAGAGCAGCTGAAATACTGATAGCAAGATCCTCACCTTCGCTATGTCCATGTTCAGAATGTATGTGCTGAAATTACCAAGCAGTCAAACAAAACCAAAGACTGGAATCCAAAATGAAAACCACAGAAAACATTAAAAGAAAGTTCTGCCAAGGAACCAGTAAAAATGGACACAGGAGGCCAATCCCTGCAAGGGAACTTCAGTCTCTTCCCGTGAGTCTGAGCCGTAATTCTCATGGGATACGGTCACAATCAGACTAACCTTTGTTTACTTGTTAAAACCACTTCTTGGATATATGATAAACTCAGTTTTGTGCTTTCCTTCATAGTTGGCAATAAAACTTCCCATGTTTGTGAACAATCTCTGGCCTTACCAGTCACAGCTTGCTAGACATTTCCAAATCAGTCTCCTCATTTACAAAAAAGAATTATGTGTGTCTTGCCAATTTTTTTTTTTTTCTTTTTTTTTGAGTTGGAGTCTCACTCTTTCGCCCAGACTGGAGTGCAGTGGCCGCTCAGCCTCAACCTGCTGGGATCCGGCGATCCTTCCGCCTCAGCCTTCCAAGTAGCTGGAGCTACAGGCATGCACTACCGCGCCCGGCTAATTTTTTGAATTATTGTAGAGATGAGGTCTCACCAAGTTGCCCAGGTGGGTCTGGAACCCGCAGGCTCAGGCAATCCACTCACCTCAGCCTCCCAAAGTGCGGGATTACAGGCTGAGTCACCGAGCCCAGCTACCAGTCAATCTTAAAAGTGAGTCTACCCCTAAACTGAAAAATATAGATGAAAGTGTTTTAAAGCAAAATAAGCCATTATGAAAATGCGTTATTATTTTAGACCCCAGTGGTCTCAAAGTGAATTCTGGTAATCCTCTCAGAGACCTTTCAGAGGTAAACAAGATCAAACCTAATTTTAAGACTACCATTTTTTTTTAAACTCTGAATCTCTCATGAGTACACAGTGGGATTTCCAGGAGCTACAAAACGTGGTGATTACTCTGACAGCTAAATGAAACATGTATTTGTATATTATTGTGTTTTAGACATTTCTTTTTAACATTTCAAATATAGGAAATATCAATAAATTTAACTTAATTGCTAAACAAAAGTTCCTTGGGATTGTCAGTAATTTTTAAGAGTGAAAAAGAATCCTGAGACTAAGTATGAGAACAACTGTTTTAATCAGCTTTAAAAAAATTGTGAAGGAAACAAGGACATAAGCTTGACAAGGTCCTTGTGTTTCTGGCCTGGCTCCAACAGGAGCTTGGCCAGTATCTCCTTCCCTTCATGTTTGCCCCTGGGAATGTTGATTTAGTAGAATTCAGGTGGTGTGACCTCTAGTCTGCGTAGGTTGGATGTAGCCTGCTTCAATGATAACTTTACTCAGAACTTCAAAGAGCACAGATGTTAATGGTTTTACTTAGACTCTCAGAAAACAAAAATGTCAGTGCTATAGTAAGCTTGCCAGGGAAAGTCTTGAACGTTAACGTTTCCCAGCTGATGCTAGCATTAATATATCTCTTGTTTATGTAGTTTTGCTCTGTATAAGAAAACATGCTGTAAGAATAAACTTGCTCTCACCTGTTGAGGCGAGAGACCTCCCGATCCCGCGGTTCTTTGCCTTTCTTTTCTCGTTCCCTCCCCCCACCTCAGGCCCTGCTCGACAGAGGCTGGACTTCCACAAAATTGTGTGACGAGTCTCACTCCATCACCCAGGCTGACGTGCGGTGGCACCATCATGGCTCACCACTGCCTTGACCTGAGCTCAGGTGAGCCTCCTGCCTAAGCGTCTCGAGTAGCTGGGACTACTTGGGTGCCACTACGCCCATCTAACTTTTTGGGGAGATGAAGTCTCGCTATGTTGTCCAGGCTGGTTTCAAACTCTTGGGCTCAAGCAGTCCTCTCATCTCAGCCTCCCAAAGTGCTGGGATTACAGGCATGAGCCACTGTGCTGGATCAAAATCAGCATTTCCGAAAGAACCCCAGGAACATAAAGTACCCAATACAAACAAGTGAGATGTAGTTTGTCATGGATTCTTGGGTCTTCAGGTCAAAGTCTTCAGGTCAAAGACAACATGTGCAGTGAGAATCACAGCAGCTTATTGTACATGAGATCTGGTCTGGTCCATTTTCTAAGCAGGGGTCGGCAAATTATGGCCTTCTGGCCAAGTAAGGCTTGCTGCCTTTTTTTATAAATAAAGTTTTATTGGAACATAGCCCCACCCATCCATTTACATACTGTCTAAGGCTGCTTTCTCACTGCAACAGTGGAGTTTAGTGGTTGTGACAGACAACCATATGCTTGCAAAGTTCAAGGTGTTTACTGTATAGCCCTTTTCAGCCAGGGTTTGCTCAACAGCAAGTCCTTCTCTCCCTCCTTCCTCAGATTCTTGGAGCCAGGGAGTCAGAAGCAAGAGCACAGCAAGGCCACAAGACTGATTTAAAAAATAAAAAATGTTAAGTCTTAAAAAAAAGTAGGTTTGAGCCTATGTCTAACAGTCAAAGGCTTCTTCACGACAAATGATTAACTCGGCTTTTTGATAAATACAAACATTCCAGGCCAGGTGTAGTGGCTCAGCCTGTCATCCCAGTACTTTGGGAGGCCGAGGCGAGAGGACTGCCTGAGCCCAGGGGTTCGAGACCAGCCTGGGCAACTTGGCGAGACCTCGTCTCTACAATAAATCACACACAAAAAAGTAGCCAGGCACAGTGACATGTGTCTGTAGTTCCAGCTCCTTGGAAGGCTGAGGTGGATGAACAGCCTGGGCAACAAGAGGGAGACTCTAACTCGCAATAAATAAATAAATAAATAAACATTCCAAATTAATAAGAAGAAGGAATGGACACAATCAGCAAAATATTCAGATAATTTGAGTCCATTTTCTTAAGCAATTATTTTATTATGTAAAATTCTATGTAGGAAAAGTACTATAACTTTAAGACTTAAAATCCACAGCAATGATATTTTACTTAACAAATAATTCAAACCATACAATGTTTAAAAATACGTAACATTAGAAAATTTCACTGAAAGAAGAAACACTGTAGAATGCATAGTTTCAAAAAGCTACTGTAAATTATTTAAGAATAAAGTGCCTAAAAAGACTGTACCTAGATCATCTGTTTCCTGAGTAATCCTTCTGTTATCTTGGCAAATCTCCTTAAGCCATAAGGGCTGTAAACCAGGAGCACATCCATCCAAAGACTGTGAAACCACTGTCACCCAGCCACTGGTCAAACTGTTGAAAGAGCAGTAATTCAAGCTGCTGGGTTTTATGCGTGTGAAGATTCCAACCAGAGGGACTGGAACACAGCAGACTGCAGATGAGGCTGGACCACAGAGGTGCAATGGGACAAGAATGCTCTCTCCTTGACACTCCGACTCAGAAGACCAGCGAGGAGCACGTGAAACACAGATGCGGACAGATCATCAGCTTATAGATGTGAAAAGCCCAAAGTGTGTGCTATTTGTACAACATGCTCAGGGTGCTTCAGACTTCACATGGAGCCATACTAATTCTATTCCCTATTTTATTCATATTTTTCTCTTTTTCGATGGAAAACATTTTCTGTTTTGGCTAAATGATAAAGATACTAGTTTGTACTAGAAGTGGCAAGAGCTATGAAAATAGCGCTCAATATAAAAAAAGATAAATTCTTTCTTAAGAATGTTTTCCAGATGTTTCTACACCATGCCATGTATTTCTAGCTACTAGTTTCCTTGTTGGGGTTGATTCACCTTTCAGATTATACTCAAGCTAATTTACACGTTTCTGGGAGGCCCTTCTCGGCCACGGAAGGCTAGGTGGGCACTCACCACATCACGCACGCGGGGGCACAGTGCCTCGCGGCGCCTCCTCCCCCTTTTCGGGGACGGCCCCCGCCGCATCTTCTGCCTCGCTGTTCCTCCTGCCACGGCCCTCGGCAGAGGGTCTTCCGCCACACTCCCGTGCCCGCAGGCGAGCTCCTGACGGGTACAGCTGCAAGGCCGGCTGGTCCTGCCAGAAGAGAAGGGCAGGTCACTCTTCAAGCGCCGGCGATGCGGCAGGGTCAACATCTCTCTGCATTTTCAGAGCCTGATGTGAACTGCCGAGGAAATCAGTCGTGCAGCCAAGTATCAGCCCTTTTCACAGCACCAGCTCAGGCACAGGCATTCTAAAGCAAACGCAAACAACCGCAAGGAAGGGAGACAACACATATTCCCAAGAAAGCGACTGTTGGGGACCTGAGGGTGTTACTGTTCAGACTAAGAACGTGCAATCTGTGGAAACAGTACAGCCACGGCATTCCCTCTTCTCCCAGTGTGAGGCGTGAAACTCATGCCCATCTCAGTCTGAAACAAAACGAGCCAAGAGTCCTCAGAGAGACAGCTCATAGGTCTGTGGACTAAAACTGTCATGAGCGTTGGGAGCAAGCGATTCCCACGTGGACGGTTCCTGCCTGCACCCAACAGAAGGAACTGTGGGCCGCCCCCTTTTAGGAAGCAGGAACCCGCCATTTTAACAAACCCCTGGAGGCACCAGAACAAAAATCTGGACCGCAGCATCCAGGAAGAGTAGCTGCTGCAGAGCTTGAGGCAGTGACAGCCAGGGGGGCAGAGTGGCTCTGGACCCAGGGGAGCAGCAGTGACAGCCAGGGGAGCAGAGTGGCTCTGGACCCAGGGGAGCAGCAGTGACAGTCAGGGGGGCAGAGTGGCTCTGGAGGCCGGGGCCGGACACCACTGCGCGCAGCTCCTCTCCGGAAGAGGCTTGCCCCCGCTCGGAAGGAGGCAGAGAGGGAGGCCGACTCCAGCTCCCTGACGCCTGCAGCTGGGCAGGCCTCCCGCTCCGGGCACCTCCCCCCCACCCCGGCCTCTTCTCCCGGCGGGGCAGCCTCAGCCTCCCAGGGCGGCCCCCGGGAGCCCAAGTACGGCTGGGAGGGTGACTCGCATCGGCACGACCCACCCACTGTCTTTCCCCAGAACTTGCCAGTTCGCCTTCGCCTGCCCCTGCACCTTGTGTAAGCCCCCGCAGGTGACCGCCAGGGGGCTTCGCTTATCTGCCTGGGTCCGAGCCTGGCAGCAAGAGAAGGGCGGGCAGGCCCAGCCGGGCCCTGGGACCTGTGTCCTCCCACTGGGGCAGAGGGTCAGGCTGCCTGAGGCAAGTGGGCACAGCCCTGCTGCTCACCAGTGGCACCTGGGTGTGCAAACAGAGGAGGGAATCTGACCCTGAAGCTCTGAGGACCCACCAGGCCTCCCAGGAAAGGAGCTGCTGCCCACAGGGCACCTCATTTCCGCCACGCACGGTCAGGCCGAACTGAGGGAGACGCAAGCCCCTGTGAGTTCCCACCTGCGGCTGTCGAACACCTGGACCGTGCCCTCTGCTAAGATGGAAAGGCCACTGAAGCCCAAGTGGTCCCGGGAACAGCTCCCTTTAAAAAGACCCATGGCTGTCCCTGGCGCACTCTGGCTTCAAGCCACCAGAGAGCTCGCTGAAGGACTCCAGAAGTGACGTGGCTAGACTCTCTCCGGCTCTCAGCCTCAACTTCCTGGAGCCTCTAGTAAGGGAGCATCACTGACAACATTATGCACAACAGCCGGGATGGGCCTGAGGGGAAAGGGGCTGAGTCAAGAAAGCTGGTTTCAAAGGCACAGACTGCACGCCTCCTCTACAAAGTGTTCCTGAGCAACAAGACCACGGAAGTACAGAGCAGACAGTCGCTGCTGGGGCCAGGGAGGGGAGGACGGGGAGTGTGGACTGCAGCCTGGGCAGCGCTCCGTGCACTCGCTCAGCTTGCTGGGAGGCTGGGTGTGAGCACTGCTCTGGGGCCTGGCCCCGGAAGGGAGAGGACACCATATGCAAGGCTGCTCTGAGAAATGTGATCTGAGTGAAACCGATTTTAGGCTTCTGGAAGAAAAGCCGTTTGCTGGGCTGAGAGGTAACTCCAATCCTGTGTTTCATGGAGAACTCACGAGTGTTCACCAGTCATCTGACGACTCATTAGTAATCAAAATATAGTTGATGCTGCAGAAAAAAGCTCCAAGAGCTCCAAGGAAAACGTATTTTCCTTACTGTTTTAAGGGTGAGCTTTATCATCTTATTCTCAAGCAAATGGCACAAACGTGCTAGTTTTACACTAAATAATATCTTTCTCCTGGTGAAAAATAAATCGATTCACTGAGAAGAGGTGATGGCTGGTTTCATCTTAGGATTTGCCTTTCAGGAAAGATGGCGCTAGTGGACACCAACCCCTCAAAGCACTACAACTCAAGGTCAGCAGGGGGTGAACCGTCATGTGGAGTGCAATCCTGACCTCAAGGTTGCCAGGTGGATTTTTCTTTGGGGGCTCAATAAACCCTTGTTTCCCAGTCGCTCCTTCCTGGGTGCTGGGCCATCATCATACTCCTGCTCTCTTCCTGGTCTTTCCGAGGCCTCCCCAGGGCTCCTACCATCCTGGCTCCCCTTCTCCCCTCCGTCCTGGGTCCTGAGCGATCCCTTCCCCCATTTCAGCTCATCTTCATTCCTTCTTGGAAATCTGTCAAGTTCACTGGAACTCTGTGCTTCCTGCCGTCACCCCATGGTGTCTTTGTGCTTTGAGTTCTTTCCCTCGCCTTTCCATGTCCCTGCGCTCTTGGTCGCTGTCGTTGAGTGGCCTGTGATTCGAACAAACGATCAGCAACCTTGGGTAAACTGCACCCCGACTGCCTGTCCTCCTTTCTAGACGGTAAGTCCCTAAGAGCCAGGGACTGCGGGAGTCGTGCACACACTATATTGCTGCGTGTGCACCGCGACGGGCATACAGCAGATGCTCAATGAGAAACTGCTGAAAAGGTGGATGAATAAGTAGTGATGACAATAGTGACATTTGCCATTTTATTTGATGCGATAAGCCATGTGCTGAGGTACTTTATGGGCAGTTTCTAATTTGTAATAATCCTCCAAGTAAACAGACTCCTCTGCCTTACAGATAAAGTAAATGCGCCCAAAAGGGGCAGTGTGCTGTCCTGGAACCTGGGTACATATCACTCATGACGCAGCCCAGATAGTGACAGCTTCATGGCTGCGCTGACACAGCTAAAATTAGCCTAAATTTAAGAGTGCCAGATTAACATTTACACCAAAATAGCAGAGGAACAGTAAATAAGCAAATGTCTGCTTAGCCCGTGTGGCCTCACACCACAACTGTGGTGTGTTCATGGGCAGGAGTCGCAGGACTGGGGGACCACAAGGGTCTCCAGGCAGGTGTGAATTCATGCCAGGAACGTGGCAGTGGGCACTGCTGTCATCAGTGACAAACCGTCTGTCACAGAAACAGTGCTAAAACAACATGGATCTGATACCCATATATAACTAATGTCACAAACAAACCAAGAAACCAAAACCCAAGCAGAGGAAACGTTACTTCATCAACAACTGTAAGAAAGGTGGTGAAATCATTCGGATTATTGTGATCGGGGAATGGGCAGCCTCACCCCATGGCCTTGCTGTCTGCCCTCCTACACCTCCTCTCCCAGCATGCCCTGTGAGGGAAGTGGCCCCAGGCCCCAGGAGACCCCACGGGTGTCCGGACACAAGCGGGCAGAAGTCCTGGCCAGGGCAACACCGAGGGCCCAGAAAGGAAGGCTGGCCCAGCTGCACGTGGTTCTCCGGGCAGCGGACATCAGGGTGGGAGCAACAGGCTCCCTCCTGACCAGTGTCTGGCTGGCCTCTCTCAGGCCTGCAGGCCGGCTTTGCTGAGCCTGTCCCTTGCCCAGAGAAGCCTTGCATGTCTATGCTTGCATTTTGGGGGGACTGCTACTAGGAGAGGAAGAGGGAGGGCCACAGCGCACAGCCCACAGGCGCTGGGCAGGCTCCAGAGAGGTACAGCACTATGGTTCCACTTCGCAACCACAGAAGACTTGCCGGCCCCAAGACAGGGTTCTCAAATGTGTACTTCTGCAGATAAACAGCAGGAGGGCTAGAGCAAACAGGCAAGACATCCCACAGCACAGATAAGAATGACCAGCTGGGGGAAATCCTGAAGAAAGAGAGGCTGGGGACCCTACATGCAGTAACAGGGGCCCAAGGAAAAAAGCCTAAGGAGGAAAAGGAAGAGGACAGTGTCGACACCTAAGAAATCAACAGAAGGAAATGTCCCTGATGTGGAGACAGACTTGAGACTGCAGCAGAATAATCGGGTTCACTGAGTTCCTGGCATGCCTGACAAGAAACATGCCCCAGCGAACCCGGCAAAAGCTGGATTCCAAGAGTCATCTGTAGCAGACACGCTTGTACTAACACAGCCCACGGCATGATGGCGACGCCGACGTGGTCACAACAGCAAAAGCATGCTCACTTCTCCTTGAGCTGCTCCAGAGAGCTTCCCAAGGGCCTGGCTTTTAGGAATGCGCCAGAAGCACAGGTGTCCTGTTTTCCTCACCTCCGCTATCAGTTTCCTCTCCTTTTTCTTTAGGTTTCTCTGTAGTTGGTTCCTCTCCCTTTTCTGGCTTCTTAAGGGAGCTGAGAAATTGTAATGTTAGTAAGATATCACCTTAAAAGTATATTCTAAAAGACGTTGTTAAGTAAAACCACGAGCCAATGTTGAGCCCAAATGTTGGGACGGCAAAATAACGTAAGTTACAGGTTTTAGAAAAAGGGTTTTGGTTTAACACATGGTGGAACGTTCAGTCAATGAAATACTTTATGGTCGTGAACAACTACGAAGGACAGTCAATGTGATGAAAAAGTGCTCATACTGACAAATAAAAGGCTACAAAACAGAATGTGGACAGTGGCCCCACTTTTATGCATGTGAATGTGCACACAGACACACAGAGAAGCATTCTGGGCACTGTGTTGCCAGTGATTATTTCTAGGTAGCAGGACTGAGATGACTTCAGTTCCTTTCATCTACAGAGTCTAGTTTTTCTCAAATAAATCAAATATGACTTTTGTATTAGGGAAAAAAACATTTAAAACAGATTGCTTTATACTAATAATTTTCAGAAGAGCTCACAGTTTCCAAAACATTTATTATTCTCTTTCTTGAAATAGAACTAATCAGCAAGTAGCTATGACACAAGTAAACTGCTGTGTCTTTGCAACTGCAGTGTCTTTCTCCCTGTTCTCCGTATAGCTTACTCTTCGAAATAGAAGCATTACAGGTGGAGTCATTTGTAGAACAGAAACAAGTGTGCTTCTGAGAATTCTGTTCTCACTCGTAAAAGTGGCCTTTTCCTTTTGAGTCACGGTCTCACTCTGTTGCTCAGGCTGGAGTGCAGTGGCACAACCATGGCCCACTGCAGCCGCCACCTCCCGGGCCCAGGCAATCCTCTGCCTCAGCCTCCCGAGTAGCTGAGACTACAGATGTAAAGCACCACACATGGCTAATTTTTTTTTTAAATTTTTTTATAAACACGAGGTCTCACTATGTTGCCCAGGCTGGTCTCAAACTCTTGGACTCAAGTGATTCCCCCATCTTGGCCTCCCAAAGTGTTGGGATTATAGGTGTAAACCACAGCTCCTGGCCCCAAAGTGTACATATTTTAAATTTTATTGTAGGGCAACCACCTCGGGTCCCCACCCACTGTGGGAGCTTTTCTGTCCTCTCAATAAATCCTGGTTTAAAAAAATAAAAACTAGGGCCGGGCTCGGTGGCTCAGCCTGTAATCCCAGCCCTTTGGGAGGCCAAGGTGAGTGGATTGCCTGAGCCCGCGGGTTCGAGACCCGCCTGGGCAACTTGGCGAGACCTCATCTCTACAATAAATCAAAAAATCAGCCAGGCGTGGTAGCAAGCACCTGTAGTTCCATTTACTTGGAATGCTGAGGCGGAAGGATCGCCGGAGCCCAGCAGGTTGAGGCTGCAGTGACCGGAAGCGGCCACTGCACTCCAGCCTGGGCGACAGAGTGAGACTCCAACTCAAAAAAAAATAAAATAAAATAAAAAATAAAAAAAATAAAAACTTTAGTGTGGCAAAACTATATATAGGCACATTCTATTAAATGAGTTTACTTAAGTCCAACTTTAAAAAACAATTACAACAGTAACATGTCTGTAATAAATGCCAGCCACAGATAAGTGCAATAGCCTCCATCCCATCACTCATTCAACAAATAGTTCTGTGTGCCGAAGAAGTGTTCTGACACCAAACGCGTGCCATCTTTTTCAACACTTCTCCAGCTCTCCGACAGCAGCTAATGTTCCACATTCAACTCACTTCCGACATTCTCTACCTGGAGTTAACATCAGACCCCAAAGTTAAGGGCTCAGTCCCACAAGACTGCCACACTTCGAATGACAGTTGCAAGTCCCAGGGTGCTACAGGTACTTCTGACCAACCAGCTGGAAACTCAGAGGGTTCCCGTGACCTCTTGTCATCCTTGATAACTTCTTAGAATGGCTCATAGGACTTGGGAAGGTACCTCGCTTACTATTATTAGTTTATTATATGGGGAGCGACACAGGAACAGCCAAATGGAAGAGGTACTCAGGGCAGGTATGGGCGGTGTTTGGGGCAGAGGGCGTGCAACTCTCCCAGCACCTCAATGTGTTCACCAACCTGGGAGCCCGTCTTTTAGGTGTTTTCGAAGTTTCATCATGTCGGCAAGATGACTGAGTCTCTGCCCACTGCCGACTGGCTCACAGAGGCTGCGGTGGGGCTGGGAGTTCCAGCCCTCTGATACTACCCTGGTCTCTCTGGCAGTCAGCCCCCTCCTGACGCTGCCCAGGGACCCCAGCCTCCTCCCTTAAGACACTCTGATCACGCTACAGAGTCCAAGGGGCTCAGGAGCTGTGTGCAGGAACCAGAGATAAGACCCTGCACTGGGTGCTAGAGACATGGTTATGAGTGAGCCAGTCAGTCCCTGCGCTGAAGGAACGCATGCTTCATGCTCTGGCTGAGGCAGTGCCAGTAAAGAAGTAAACAGTGACAAAAACCTAAAAGAGGACACCAATGAGGGAGCAAGGCAAGCTCAAGGGGCATCAGACGCCACACACACACGAAACCAGAAGTGAAGGGGTAGTAAGACTTGGGGAGAGCAAAAGGGCAGTCTCGGGGTTCTCTGCGGAGACCAGGCAGGAGCTGAGACCAGATGACGAGGCCACCTGGGGAGGTATCCCAGGCGGGCAGGAAACAGGCAGAGGCCTGTGGTATACTCAGGAGGAAAGCAGGTCAGGACAGCCAGAGCTGCCCGAGGAGGGAACAGCTCCATCAAGCCCTGTGAGGCCTGGAAACCAACAGCAGTTGCGGGTCAGGTGTGTTCCCTCCCATCCTGCCCTTGTCCAAGCGTATGTTCCTACCCGTACCCCAGTCACACAGACCCTTGACTGTGTGTACACTCATACATGCACCCTAGCCACACACATGCTATGTGTATGCTCAAACGTGTACCCCAGTCATGCACATGCCCTCATCTGTGCATATGCTATAAACTTGTATCTCTGTCATACACATGGTCTCATTTTTTTTCTGTTCATACATGTAACCTGGTGACACAGACACACAGCTTTGTAGAAACAAGTTTGCTGAAACGATTTTCCTAGATAACAGCATCTACAGCCTATATGTTCAGGACATTTGTAGCTTTGGCACCTAACTTCTGACTTCACCTTAAGCACACTGCTTCTTTTCAGAGTCCTCAGAGAACAAAGAAACAACTGGGTTGCTCTCTGTGTCAAATTCCTCTTTGATAAGAATAGCCAGGAGGGCGTCTCTCTTGCCTTTCCACCTTTAGGCTGCTGATATAATTTATTTTGCATTTCTCCATAGATTTCATTTTCGAGGTTTAAAAATAATTCAATTCTTGGAATGATTTTTAAGTCAGAGATCCCCAAACTTGGGGTTGGACAACCTGCTCCTCACACGTACTGATTGGCCGCAATGCCAACACCTCTCAGGATGACAGTCACGGCCACTCTTGTCACTGTGGTCCAATCGGCCACCGAGGATTTGTCCTACCAGATTTGGACCAGACTCCTCCTCTTGCTGTTTATGTTCCGATTTTGTTTTCTATATAAAGCATCCTGACCTTACTTTTACTGACTTAAATTTGTTTTATTTCTCTAGCTATTTTGTCTTTTAATTGCATACTCAAAAACATACACATAAAATGCTATACTCCAAATACCTTAAGTCCTACTAAAAATTATAGTTGAAATTATACGCTACAAGTTTCAATAGTTCTTTCTGAAAAACTCTCAGTAAAAATGTTGTCAACAAGAGTAATTTTGAAAATGTAAGGCATTAGGCACTGGGTTAGCTATTACTCTTCACTTATAAAAGTAAATGAGAACGCTAGATGCTGTTTGTAACTATGGCCACGAAATTTACAAAATGTATATCTATTTTGTTCCTGTTCATGATCCAATAAAGTTGAATTTCTACAATGACAAAGATGTCTACTATATTAATAAGGTTTCACTTTCCTAGTTATCTTCCAAGGAATGCTAATTTATACTTTTAAGTCTGTGTTTGAAAGAACAGAGTACCACATGTTCTCACTCATAAGCGAATCCTGAACAATTACCATAATACTATAAGAAAGGAATTGGCAGTCACAGGATATGGGGGGTCAGGAGGGGACACAACATCCATAAGGACACCTGATCTCTAACCAGGCAAAGTGGGGACCAAAGGGAGCCCAAACTTTAGCTGTATGATGACCACTTGTATATACCTAATCCTGGATTGTACCCCACATCTTTAAAATAAAAAAATAAAAAATAAATTTGAGATTTTGCCATAAAAAAATAAAAAATTAGATTATTCACAAGAAATAAAGCTAGGTTATCACAAACTTCTTAACAGTATTAAATACCAACAGCAATGGAGTAGCAATCACAGACCTTTAAAAGAAATAGGTTGTGCCCCAAGAATTTTAGGTCTAATTCAGTTGTTGTTTATGTGTAAGTATTGAAAGATACTCTCAGATGTATAACACTAAAAAAATTAATGGTTGGGGTAAACAATTGCATTTGGAAAAGTTTATGCCAGAACAAATGTACATTTGTTAAAAATAAGCAGAAAATGAGTTGTTTGGAGGAAAAAAGACTGTGTTTGTTACAGAACACATATTTACTACAATCTTATTATGGAAAGTTGTGTTTGTTCACTTAAACAAGAACGGACACACAGGAAGCACTGTTCTGAGTTTTTTCCTGAGGAAAACCCTGAATTCTCCCAGTAGGAGATGAGGGGTGGACCATTTTTATTTAACAGTCTTGGTTGAGTTCCTCAATTTCATCAATGTTATAATCAAAGTATGCAACTTTAAACTTACACAGATGTGCACCCATTTTTCACCAGCACCAAGAACCTCCTCTGGACAGCCATTCTGGGGACAAGCGGTCTACCTATTCCCTTTGTACCTGTGCTCGTGGTCTATGAAGCAAATGTGCTTAAGCAACACTGCCTGGCTCCGATTCCACACCTTTCATGAGTTGTGAACGTTTTGTGAGACTGTCCTCAAACTTAAAGAAATACCCTATGGAAATGATGGTTTTCATTACGGCGCTCATTAGATATGTCAAGCTCTCCTTCTTCTGGGTGCACATCCTGACTGTATGGATTAAGTCAGGCCACATGACTTGCTCTGGCCAATAAAAGTTGGGCAAAAATAACAGATCTCTTCCACGTGGAAGCTTTAGGAACTCCTGCACAATTTTCCAGGTTACACACCACTCTCTCCATCACAAAGATTATAGACGCAAATGCCCAGAGGGAGCCTCTGTTCGTTTGGGTCGCCAGATGACCACCATGACGCACAATAGATATGCAATATGAACAAGAAATAAACTTCGGGTAGGATGGACCAATGAGGTTTTAAGACTGTTACTGCAGCACAACCTAGCCAATCCTGTCTAATACAAATGGTTGTACGTTTTCATAGGGTAACTGTTAAGAAGTTGTTCTCTCTGTGGTTAGTGAACCCCATAGGAAAAATTATTTTAGAGCAAAGCCCTGGAAAAAGCTTTGATTTCCTTGAAGAACTAATGTTTTCTCTTTGTGGATTTAAAAAAAGTGATATTTCTGGATCAACTTTTCTATTTTTGACTGTCAAGAATATCAGAAAAAAATCTATGGGCCAGCAATCTCTTCCCCACACTTTCTTTTTCTAATCTACCGTTCCCCAAATCTTGGACATTTTTTTCTTTATATTATACAACTTTACTGAATCCCTAATAGGCTAAATGGAGTGAGGTAAGATATATATTAGACTGAAATATAGGTTTAGTAAAGTCATCTGCGCGTCTTAAAAAGACAAGGGCTGATTCCAATTCTGAGCAATACATTTTACACAGAGAAAAATTACCTCTGTGCATTAGACTACTCTCCTAAATGAAAGCATCAGTCACAGGAGAAACTGGGCAAGAAATAAAGAAACCCATCACTGGCACCGCAAAAGATACGAAAGCTCCAGTTCTACGAGTCAGGCCTCACGCAGGAAGGCAGAGCCAGTGTGCATTTTTCAGCCGGGAAAACTTCTCGTTAAAGGAAAACGCAGCAGAACCCAACACAGGACAACATGTGGCTCCTCTGGGTGGCATGATCCTCTCGGCACACCCATGAGGGCAGAGCTCCTATGCTCTCTACCCACCTCGCCTCCAGTCAGCAGGCCCCAGGAATTCCTAGGGCTCAGGAAACACAGTGTGAATACTACTGTTGTAGAGTAGACAAGAAGGAACTGTAGCAAAAGACTGGATTAACTTAAAATGTTCTTAAAATTCTAAGTGCTACGATAACTAAAAGGTACAAGTAGCATAGCCCAACTATCTCTGGAAAAAAGAAGAGCTTCCTTGAAGTTACCTTGATCCTTACTTCTTTCTCGGAAGTTTTCTTCTGCTTATCTGCCTCTTTCCTTTTGCATCTCTCTTCGTCTCGTCTCTTTCTTTTTTCCTCCTCCCGCAGGCGCTTCTTTTCTAGCTCCCGCCTCCTTCGTTCTTCGCGCTTTTCTTCCCGAATTCTCTAAAGACACAGAAGAGCAAGTGTGTGAACTGTCTGGATGGAAACGGCAGAAGCAGAGAGGGCATTCATCAAGGAAAAGCCAGACCTACCTGCTTTTCTAATTTTCTATTTTTAATATATTCCAAAAGAGGTGTGGTTCTTCTGGCTAAAACACAAAAGTTGTAATGCAGTTTTTAACTACTAAAGAAAGATTTATTTTAAATACTTGTTTTCAATTTAATCTTTAAAATAATTAGGGGAATAATGTCATTTATTTTTCAAATTTATATGCACATACACTGAATGGTGGAATTTTAATTCCATCACTACAAAGCCATGTAATTTGAAAGTGTCAACAATTTTATAGATAGTAGACAAGTAATTCCAGATTCTTAAGGAAATCTTAAAATATCACTCACAAAGACAATATGAAGGTAAATGCATACAATGCACTGAACTCCCCAAATGTTTTGACTATCTCTTCACATTTATGCAGATATAGTAAATCATGAAATAACATTTATATATTCATTTGGATTCATCACATATTCTAATAATTTTTCTTTTTCCGTTTCCCAGGCAATGGCTTTAAGCAACAAGGATTTTTATCATTTCTTACAACACACACTCCATAAAATCAGAATGATGAGACATAAAACTCTCTATATTGTAGCTTAGAATATGACTCCACATGGCACTGTTTTTTGGGTTTTTTTGAGTTGGAGTCTCACTCTGTCGCCCAAACTGGAGTGCAGTGGCTGCTGCCGGCCACCGCAGCCTCAACCTGCTGGGCTTCGGCGATCCTTCCGCCTCAGCCTTCCGAGTAGCCAGAATTACAGGCGCACGCTATGATGCCCAGCTAATTTTTTATTTATTGTACAGATGAGGTCTCAACAAGTTGCCCAGGCGGGTCTTGAACCCGCGGGCTCAGGCAATTCACTCACCTCAGCCTCCCTAGGTGTGGGATTACAGGCTGAGCCACCAAACCCGGCTGGAACTGTTTTTATTGGGGTCAGGTCTCCCTCTGTCGCCAGGGCTGGCGTGCCAAGTGGCACAATCGCAGCTCACTGCAGCCTCGACCTTCTGGGTTCAAGCGATCCTTCCCCCTCAGTTTCTCGAGTAGCTGGGACTACAGATGTGTGCCACCATGCCGCCTAAGTTTTGATTTGTTGTAGAAATGGAGTCTCACTATGTTGCCCAGGCTTCTCTTGAATGCCTGGGCTCAAGCAATCCTCTTGCCTCGGCCTCACGAAGTGCTAGGATGACAGGTGTGTGCCACTGCGGCTGGCTACTGCTGATTTTTTAAAAGGTATCAACTACCACAGAATTAACATTTCCACAAATGCTAACCTGCTCTCACCCTTTATGGCCTGACCTCTCTGATCTGACCCGACTGTGGGTAACCCAGCATGCCGCAGGTCCACAGGTACTGCCTCCCAGAGGAACTGGTGCTAAGAGGGTAGGTCTTGTGCATGCAAAGGCAGGGCCGAGGTGGGAAGGGAAAGCCCATCTGGGTCTATTCTGCAGGTCCTTGAGATTAAATGGGCTGGGGAGAATCCCTGGAAGCATGTGAAAACTGACACAACATTTCTGGAATTCTGCGGATCAGGAGCAAATTGGGACGTACAGGTGAGCCCCTGGCCAGGAAGCCCTCGCTTGGAATGAAGCACCTGTGACATCCTGGTATCAGGGATCAAGCGGTGCCACCCAAGTTGCCCAAGGAGTCCTGCCCCAGGCACAACAGCTGTGGGGAAGAGCTGACACAGTGCGGATGTCCAGTTTCGTGGCAGGTGCAGTGGGCATGGAGAACGTGCTCTCCCAGGGGGCCCCTGTGTTGACCAAGAGCTCTGGCGCAGGGTGAGCAGGACTGACTGGTTACAGTAGAAAGCCAGCCCTTTTAATGGGCAAATCCTCTCAAATGAACCAGGGTCCTGCTCTACTTGGTAGAAGGCCTGGCCTTGCCAACCAGGAGCAGGGCAAGACCACTAGGGCGGGGAGGCTGACTCCAAACCTCACCTCTCGCAAAACGTCTGTCCTGTCACCCACAGGGTTCATGAGGAGGCTCAATAAGACCTGTATAAGAACATGTTCCCATACTGCAAAGTGTGTTATCTGTCGGCTAGAATATGCGCAGCCAGGAAACAGCACACTAATCCAGAGTCACAACTGCCACGGCCAACAGAGTGCCCTTGTGTACAGCCATGCACTACGTGCTTCACGTTACGACCTCGCGGAAACCCATAAGGAGACAGGGAGCTGAGGTGCTGGACAACTCTGCGGCCAAGGCTGCCAAGTCTCGGAGCTGAGCCCAGGTCTGTCTGCTCTGAAGACCCTGCACGGGCAACACATTAACTGATGCCAGGGCCCCTACCAATGAGTTTACTAATACTCCTACCTAACCCTCACGTCTTCTCTTTTAAAAAAAGGTTCGTAGCAACTTTGCTCATAAAAGCCAAAAGCTGGAAACAGCCTGGGGATCTATCGATAGAAGAATGAATAAACAAACTATGGTATCTTCAAACAGTGTAGCCATCGCTTCTTAGACTTGCTCAGAACAATCCACGGAAGGCCAGAAGCTAAGAAAAGAAAAAGGCAATCTGCCACAAACTGCCCGGTTAAGATTCAAGTTTTAATGTGTAGAAGCAGGAATCACAGAGACAAGGCCCTACAGCCCGGTTCTGGAATGGACTAATCGTTCTCACTAGGGTTAGTGGATCCCCAGGCACATGTATTCCTTCGGTCAACATTTTTTTTTTTTTTTTTGAGTTGGAGTCTCACTCGGTTGTCCAGACTGGAGTGCAGTGGCCGCTGCTGGTCACTGCAGCCTCGACCTGCTGGGCTCCGGCGATCCTTCCGCCTCAGCCTTCCGAGTAGCCGGAATCACAGGCATGCGCTACCACACCCGGCTGAGTTTTTGATTTATTGTAGAGATGAGGTCTCGCCGCCTAGGCGGGTCTCAAACCCGTGGGCTCAGGCAATCCAGTCACCTCAGCCTCCCAAAGGTGCGGGATTACAGGCTGAGCCACCGAGCCGGCTCTTCGGTCAACATTTACGAAGCGCCGACTGTCCAGCAGGTGGCGCAGATGAGGGGACACGCCCGCCCCCTTAGAGAGGCAGCTGGGTCTGTGGAAAAGCAGGTGTCTGTCTCAAAACGGCCCTGAAGCGACCAATCCTGCCCAAAGGGACAAACAAAGCGAGAGAGAAATGGGAGGGGCAGGAAGGCGAGTTCTGTAAATAACGTGCAACTTGATTTTTCTAGCTCTTCTTAAAATTAATGCGCTCGAAAGGGAAACATGAATCTTGCCTCCAATTCTGCCCCTCAACCTTCCCATGTGTGTAGTGGCGCCACAATCCACCAATCTGCTCAGTCAAACCCTGGAGTCTTCCTTCTCCCCACATTCCTGTACTGCCCACAAACAACCCGTCAGTCAGTCCTGCAGTCTATGTCCAAAACACGCTGGTCTCTTGGTGTCCACAATTCATTACATGTGCTGCACCCGGATAACCAAACCACGTCACTACCTCAGTGGTTTCTGGTGCCCCTGGAATAAACCCAAACCTCTCGCCCAGGCCACCCACTGGCACTGTGTGCCCCTTCTCCAGTCACGCTGCCCTGTGCCCATGTGTCAGCCACATGCGCCTGCATTCTGTTTCTGCAGCCCCAAATCCAGCCTCCAGTCCCCGGATCTCCAAGCTTAGCATGGCTGGTCCCGGAGTACCAGCGCAGAGGGAAGTTCCTGTCCACCCTCCCATTGTTCCTCTTCATTGCATTGGTGGCACTGAGGACGAGCCAACATGCTCTGGCTGGGTCATTTCCACCCGTGCTTACCCCGTCCTCCCCACTAGAAGGCAGAAGCCTCATGCACCATTTCCCACTCCGCCCTACGCGGAGGCTCAGAGTCAGGACCGGGCAACACGCATCCTCCTTGACACTCGCTTTGGTAATGAAAAGTCAGGCACCCTAAAACATAAAAACTTTATTACTAGACCAATGAAGGAACTATTTCAGTCAAATGAACCTTTCTTATTTGTTTACTCAACCAACGTTTCGATTCCTGAACTTTTCTGTGTGCAACGACAAAGACGAAAATGCGGTTCTGCTGGGGGAAGAGGGGATGTGCAACGTAAGGGAGTTTATGTGGCGGGAGATGGCTGCGTTGTCAACGGTGTGACTGTCATGTCACAAGAGAGCTGATGGTGAGCTGGGCAGCGGGCTGAGGGTGGCGCGCTGGGGTCTTGAGGAGAAGCTGGTAGGAGCAGAGGCCAACGGAGGAGGGAGGCTACCTGGTGTGCTTAGGGCCAAGCTAAGGCAGGTTGCATGCTGATTCAAACCAGATCCTGTACTCAGGCTGGGTTGATCCTGAGTTTGTTGCCTCGATATATTTTTTTAAACAGCTGCAAGATGACCTCACTCATGAGCCAAGCATCTCATTTCTATGGGCTCCTAAGGCATCCGTTCGTACCTGCTCTTTGCAAAGACCAACGACTCCAACTCTGAGATCGGACATTCCTCCCTGACGCAGTCACACCAAGCATGTGTGTCTCCTCTGATCCTTCGGAAGCATAACTCAGAACACCACGACTATGAACAGAAAACCAGGTGCTCTCCTTCAACAAATGCCCAGAAATGTTTTCCCAAGCAGCCAAACTGCCGTCCTTTTGTCAAAACCTTTCATCCAAGCCTGCAAGTTCCCGTTTTTTAAAACACAGTCATGAACACAAGAAATGCACACACTCTACAAACAAATACTTCAGTGAGAAAAGAGAAGAAATGAGCAAACAGACCAATGAGTTCTCGTGTGTTTGCCTCTATCTCTCCCAGAAGAGTTTCGGGGCTGGCACTGGCTTTCTCTTCCTCCACAGAGTAAGTCTCTAAAAACTTCTTATATTCTGGATCTATATGTTTACAAAAGAACAAAAGGAAATAAATATCTTCAACTATAAGGGAGTGTATTTAACTGGTCACTCCATTATCTGGCATTTGGGAAGGACTCACCATCTTCAATGCTTCCAGTCTTGGCATCTTTTTTCCTTAGCTTCTTCTTGGCTGTCTTCTGGAACGGAGCAAACTCCACCACGGCGGGATACTCCAGGCCTTTAACAGGAAACACATTGCAGAAACCATTCTAAATCTGACCGCATGCACCTTGGAAAGTGACGCTCTGGCTCCCTTGAGGAGCAAGTAGAACGGCAGCAACATATTATTGCTGTTTAAGCTACCACTTAGCTATATTTTCAAGGACCTGCAACCTTGGCACAATTACTTGCGTTATTTAATAAGCAACTGCTCCTCCTACCACAAGTTCATCCCTTTCAACACTCGTGCTGGGAAAACTGCAAGCGAAGAATGAAGTTGGAGCTTTACCTAACGCCATAACAAAAATTAACTCACACTGGATCAAACCTAAGTTTAACACCCAAGACCATAAGCTCTATAACCAGAATAGATAGAGAACTCCTATAACTCAATAACAAAAAATGAAATAACCCAATTTAAAAGACAGGCAAGGACTTGAATGGATATTTTTACAAAGATGATACACAAATGGCCAGCAAGTACACGAAAAGATGATCAACATTAGTAATCATTAGAGAAACACAAATCCGAGCTACAATGAGATACCACCTCAAACCCATCAGGCTGGCTACCATACAAAATAACAAAGTAAGTGTTGGCAAGGATGTGGAGTGATTGGAACCCTGGTGAACTACCCATGGGAATGCAAAATGGTACAGCCACTGTGGAAAACAGTATGGCAGCAAATTTTGTTATGTATATTTTAACAACACTTTTGAGAAGTAAAAAAAAGGGGGCAGTTGAATAGATTGCTAAATAAATTAACACAAATCTCAGATATTGCAGGCATTAAACACACTTGCTTCTACTCACAGGAAATACCTTGGCCTTAGCTTAGTTACTCTAACAAGCTTTTCTAGTTTGTTACCCCTCAGTGGAGGAGAAGAAAACACTGATCCATGTTGGGTGTAGATGGGGTGGGAAGAGGGTGGCTGGTGAGGGACGAGCAGAAAACAATTGGCTGCCAAAGGTACAGACTTGACAGCAGCAAATATGACAGTGTGGACAGTCTGACAGGAGAGCAGGAGAAAGAAGAAAATGTCAAGGCAGAACCCCACCCCTACGGGTGACTGGAACTCTTCAGAGCAGGGATAAATAGCGCGGCCCCAGCAGGCGATACGGTTTGACAGCATCAGTGACCCAGGCTCACTATGACAACCCCACCCTGACTTTATCACGAGCTAGCAGTCATAGAAAGAGCACTGCTTAGGAAGACATGGATGTAAATGAACAACACATTCTAGAAAACTCCCATCAAACACGGGCAAAATAATTCAGCTTTGGAATACAAAAAGGCAAAGTTCATTTATCCAGAAAACTTCACTCTCCAGTGACAATACATAAACAGGTTGTCACTGTTACACAAAAATTCTGGAATTTTCTTGGCTTGTATGCCGCTTTAGTTTTTATATTAGTACATAATCACAGTAATATAATAACAGTTTATGGAACTTATTTTAGTCTCTGAGAACTTCTTAATTAAAACACAGAAGTACTGCAGCAAAACTTCATAAACATGCTTAGAGATTATAATGAAGGGTTTAAAAACCAATGATCCAACCTTTATTGTCCATGAAGACACAACCATCAAAACGCTCTCTAAAAGGAAGGATGTCATCAGGGTTTCTGAAATTAATGTATGCTCTTGAGTAGAGATGAGGATAAAGACTGAAATAAGAGATGACAGTGAAAATAGTTAGTAAAAAGTACAAGACTAGGTTAGCCTTTCTTTTTCATTTCTGGATACAACAAAATACTTCAGGTAAAACCTTTATGCCAAAGATTCTCTCAGTTAATGATAACAATTTGGATAGTCTTTAACAAAAACAAAACCAAACAATTAAATGAGATCTTTTTAATTACTTGGAAGAAATAACTTAAATCAGCTTCTCCAATGCACAGAGCCAAGGTTAAAATACTAAACAGAGGTTAAAAAACCCAAAGGCAAGGTTACTCAAGGGTCAATCGTGACTCTCAGAAAAAAATGTAACACTATAAAAGAGATTTTTTGCTGATTTTGAGAACACTCCTAGGCATTTTAAAATAGTGTTTATTGGCCAGGCTCGGAGGCTCAGTCTGTAATCCCAGCACTTTGGGAGGCTGAGGCGAGTGGATTGGCGAGTGGATTGCCTGAGCCTGCAGGCTCGAGACCCACCCAGGCAACTTGATGAGACCTTGTCTCTACAATAAATCAAAAACTAGCCAGGTGTGGTAGAGTGTGACTGTAGTTCTGGCAACTTGGGAGGCTGAGGCGGAATGATCGCCAGAACCCAGCAGGTCGAGGTTGTAATGGCCAGGAGCGGCCACTGCACTCCAGTCTGGGTGACAGAGACTCCAACTCAAAAAAAAAAAAAAAGTGTTTATTGTAGCACATAGTGTGGTGTCTACAGGAAGAACTAAGCCTTCCTGCTCAATTTCACAGCCCTTAATTTCCTTCACAAGCAGACAACTTTCGGTCCCATCTCACAGACGAAAACACTGAGGTGCAGAGAAATTAGCCATACAAGGACTGGCAATTGAGCTCACGAGCTCATCCTGAGAAGGTGTTCCAAGCCTCACTGCTGAGTGTCACTATGGGCCCCTTGGAAGTCCTCCCCTTGGGAAGCTACGCACCGATGCTAGCGCCTAGTCCAGCTGCCAAAATCATTCTGGAACGCTTTTTCTGGAACGGCTTACCCTTGCTGTCCTGAATGTCATCAAATGTCTTCCTTTCAAGACTTCCTTTATTTTTGGGTAGAGAAAAATGTCTCTGGGGCCAGATCAGGTGAGGGGGGGGTGTTCCAACCGTTATTTGTTTACTGGCTAAAAATTTCCTCAGACAGTGCTGTGTACGCCGGTGCACAGTCGCGGTTCAAGCGCTCCTTCCAGACCATTCGCCCGGCCTTTCTCGTGCCAAGCGTTTCCTGCTTCTCTACGGATGTCTCTCTGGACTGCTCTGCTTCTCACGGCCAGCCAACGATTTCGACGCGCAATCCGGTCCGGTTTTGCAGTGCTTTTCGTTACCGGCTGTCCTGAGCTCTCCCCTCGGAAAAACGCTGGACGCACGCGCGCGCTGCCACTCCCTTGCCGGCATTATCCCCGTAAGCACGGACCTCCGCGCCCCGATTTCAGCTCCCCTCTTGCCAAGTTCAAGAGGAAACGTAATGCTGGTTCGCTGCTCGGATTCAGGCTCTGAGGTTCTCGTGACACAGCCCAAAACGCCCGACAGAGAACGCCCCTTCGCAAGACCCTGCCGCGCGGCGAGACGCGGACGCGCCCAGGCGGTGAGGCCTCGCCGGGCGGTCCGCGCCGCAGAAGCGGCGGCGCGTTCACGAGCCCAGTGGTCAGACCTCGCCAGCAGAGGGCGCAGTTCGCCAAGAGGAGGGGCCGGGCCCCAGCTGAGTCGCTCTGGCCAGGGCCGGCTCTCCCGCAGGGTTAGTCCGGCTCTCCCGCAGGGTGAGTCCTCGCAGAGTCACCGGCGAGGCTCTTCCAGCCGCACGAGCGTCGGCCGGAGACGCTTTCGGCGGGCGAACGGCCAGCCGCGACCACCAGGCCCGCAGCCGAAACGCGGCGGGACCCCGCAAGGAGAACACCGCGGGCCGCCCGCCCCCAAGCCGCGAGAATCGCGGGGCCGCTCTCCCAACGAGAGACAGCAGGACGCGCCGAGCGCTGCGAGACGCGCCACCCCCGGGCGTCGCGCGCGAGGCGGGGTGCTCGTG